TCTCCCCCGCCTAAGACCTGGTCCTGCTTCTAACCAAAAAGAGTTGTCTCTCAAAGTATCAAAGTCTTAAATGCATTGCACTACCTGTACTATTTCAGTAGTCTAAATAAAAATAACCTTATATAGAAAACAAAGACAAATAAGTTGATCATAGATCGCATCAGTTCGGGCGAAGGTGGGGCACTGGCAAATAGTGACTCTACGTACGCAAGGCCAGGGGATCTACATCCCCCCAAATTTCGCTCATGCCATGCAAATCAAGCCCTTGTAGGTTCGGTAAAGCTGGCCAGGGCAGATGGCGGGTATCCGCAAGTTATCGCTGTTACTATTATGGTTGAACCTAGTGCGTGGCACATCCTAGAAAACATTCGAGTGGCAGCAACTGCTCAATCCTTTACTCCCCCCCCCCCATCACAGAAAGGTTAGGAACGGTAAAATCACATTCATGAAGTCAAGGGCACGGCTTACCCGAAACGTTTTGAAACCGCGACTCAACACGTCATTTCGCAAGAGACATTCCTCTGCCGCCTTGGCGTATGAATAGAAACAAGTGATTGAATTACGTGTACTTCTGTTTTGCTTTGGTCGTCTAGCTATTCCTTCTGAAGGACCCTGGGTGTGGAGTGATGCGTTCACAAAAACAATGTGACGACGACCAGGGCTATAATTATCGATGGGAGGAGAAAGAACGAAGAATATAAACTAAATTCCTTAGGATTTTTAACGGTTCCTACAAATAACTGGATAGCCACGAAGTGAGTGAAGCAGGGAAAAGGAGACTCGATATTGATTGTCATTTTGACTTGTTTTGTTTATTTGCTGCTGTCTGAACGCCAGCGTGGCGACGCAGGTTCGATTTCGTGCTCAGCGAGAGGCGCAGGTTCGAGTTCCGCCTGGCCAATTTTTTGCGTATAACTCAGCACTCTTGCGAAGCTCAAGAGAGATGTTTTCTATCAGTTTCCATGCCATCCCCTGTTGGGATATCAGCTATGTGCGGATGCATCTTCTTTAGTCAGACAAATTTTGAATTTCAAATTTAAATTGAAAAAAAGCGAAGATTGAAGCTCAAGGCTAAACCATACAGGTCAACAAGATACAATGCCGCCCACAATTTTTGCATTGTCAAGATCACGTGAGTAAATCCCCCACAACTCGTCGGTCTGCCATAATTTTTGGAAAAATAGTGCAAATGACTCAAATGTTAGGCCATTGAGCAGCCCTCAACAAGACGAATCTTACGGTTCAGTGAACCCTACGGGTTTCAACCCTACAACCGAGAATCCTATCGGAGTTGAGGGTTGGCGACGGCGTTATATCTTCAGATTTTGCCATTGGAAATCGGAGAGTCAAAACCTAACTTCCCAAGAATGCGGCCGAAGATTTGAAGAAAATCGGAAAGTTTGCAAGACCGTTAGATTC